ATCGGTAAAGACACGTCAGCCTATATGAATAGGATACAGGTTCGATTCCTGTCGGAGGACGAATATTTTCTATGAAAATTTCTCGGACATTCAGGTCGGTAAATGTTGTTAATACTGTCTATTATAAACAGAGCATTTACTTGAATATTTGTATCTATAAAAAGAACGTATAAACATAAAAAATGTCTTAATATATATACATATTAGAGAAAATAATGTGGTTAATTTTATATTCGAAAATAATTTTTCCACTTTGTTATTAATTTTCATATGCATTTGGAAAGCACGTATGACAATGTAGGAAGTGAAAAAAAATTCCCAGCATCCCTGGTTCATTTGCATGTTTAGTCGAAAACTGGAAAAAAAAGTTTCCGTGTCACGCGTTTATTCATATTGTCTTTTTACATATAAACTCTATCTGAAATTTTTACACACTTACACACACATACACACATGCATACACACACACACACACACATATGCAGACATATAAAGTCTGCGATGGATAAATTGTCGTCTAAATTACGGAAAAATAAAAATAACGCTAACATCTCATTTTAACAGATATATTTGGCAAAATATCTTGAAATACTAAAGAGTAAATTTATTCAATTAAATCGTCATTGGCTTCAACCATGGCCTCCAAACAACCTCGGAATCTCCTGCATCTCTTCTGGACGGTCTTCTTGTTTAAGTTGGTGAATGCTGCCATAATCGTTGCCTTCAGTTCATCTTTGTTATTACAAGGAGTTTTGTAGGTCTCTCACTCAACTATCCCTCACACATAATAATCAACGAGGTTGCAGGCTGGGGAGTTAGGTGGCCACATATAAGGGGTGATGCGGTCGCAGAAATTGCCTGACAGTCGTGACTGGGTTCTCCTGCTTGTGTGGCATGGTGCAGAGTCCTGTTGCCATCATATACCCACTTGACCCAGAGCAGCACTAACTCCACAAAGCACTTGATGTAGGTTTTCATATTTAGTCTGAGTCCCTGTGGGAAGATTAATGGAGGCATAACGTCGCCATCACTAGCGATAAGTCCAAACACCATGATGTTGACTGGATATATCATCCAACTCTTTCCAAATCCTCTGCACTATCCTCAGAGCGACATCCATACACTCTAAAAGGTTCGTATTGGAGGTTCCGGTGCGAATGCCAAGCAGTGGAGCATGCCGTTTCCAAGTTTCTGAGAGAGTGAACTGCGTCATGGTGCTCTTTTTCTCGCAGACGGTGCCTAATCTGTGTAGTCGACAAAATCAAAAAAACAAACAATGCGCATGCGCGAAATCAAAAATATAAAATATCGGCAATTTAACCATCGCACCCTGTATACACACACACACGCACACACACACAAATATATATATATATATATATATATATATATAATAGTGTCACCTCGTCGGGGTTTAATGGTTAGAAAGCTTGTCTCTCTAAAAGAGATACGACTGAATAGTTCGATCCTCATTGGGTGCCCCATACTTTCGGCCTTGTGCCACATCTAAGCAACGCTTAGAAAATCAATAAAGGGCACCTCGAGGGGGTGTAATGGTTAGCAATCTTGTCTCGCTAGAACAATTACGACTGAGTAGTGAGTACGATTCTTACTGGGTGCCCCATACTTTCGGCCTTGTGCCACATCTAAACTACGCTTGGAAAATCACTATATATATATATAAAATAGCAAAAATACCTGTTGATAATCATCAACTTTTATTGTAAATATCCCGTGTAAAATAGGATTTTTATTTTCCTTAAGTAGATTAAAACAAATACACACGCACACATATATGCTGATTAAAGTATGTTATATATATATATATATATATATATATATATATATATATATATATATATATATATATATATATATATATATATATATATATATATATATATATATATATATATATATATATATATATATATATATATATACATATATATATATATATATATATATACATATATATATATATATATATATATATATATATATATATACATATATATACATATATATATACATATATATATATATATATATATATATATATATATATATATATATATATATATATATATATAAATGGCCAAGATAAATATATATATATAAAATTAGGGTTTTTAACTTCTATATATATATATATATATATATATATATATACATATATATATATATATATATATATACATATATATATACATATATATATATACACATATATATATATATATATATATATATATATATATATATATATATATATATATATATATATATAAACATTTTATATATATATATATATATATATATATATATATATATATATATATATATATATATATATATATATATATATATATATATATATATATATACATATATATATATACATATATATATATATATATATATATATATATATATATATATTTTTCGTAACCTATTAACTGTAATTATTAGTATTTGTCACTTTTCCCTTATGTTAAATGCACTTTTTTTTATATAAACAAAATTCCCGGTATCAAAAGTGTAATATATTATGCTGGGTTTTCTTCGTTTTTTCAGCCATTATTTTTATTAGAAAATTACGTAATTGATATTCGCCATTATTTGCGTGTGTGTGCGCATGCCTGCCACAGCCTTTTTTCTTTATCCACATACACCTCTGCAAATGCAGATTTCGCATGTAAGCAACTATTTTTATACTTCCAAAAACTGAAGTAAAACTTACCTCACTATAGTTTAATTGTCACCGTAATGTCTACCAATAAATATATTATTTTGTTTCCTATCAAACACATCTGTTGCTTTGTTCATCAATCGATTATAATTACTAAATATTTCGATCGCTATTTTCTTTTTGTTTATTTTAAGATGATTTGTTTTTTTTTAGATTTAGTAATTTGTAAAGATTTTTTAATAAAATGTTAACGAAATCACACTCTAATCAATTTACGAAAATGAAATAATATCAAGTTAATTTTTTAGATTTCAACAGTTTTCTCATTTGAGGAATTAATAACGACACGACTTGTTTACATGTTGGTCATTTGAAAAACTATAAAAAATTTGGAAAGAATACATTTGTATTAAATTCCATGAACAGGGTTTATGGTCGAAGTGCCAGTATCTGACGACAATTAAATTACTCACTTTAAAAAATGACCTTTGGCAGACGATAATATAATTTGAATGTTTTCATTCTCTTTTATCTATAATATTAATTTATAAATAATTTCTAAAATTTATATTGGTAAAATAGATTTTTTATCCACTGTCAGCACCTTGTTACAGTGATAAGTAAACAAATAAATGCTTAGTCCAATGTAATGACAAAAGTACGCAGGTGTAGGCTTTAAGAAAGATTTATTCAACTGAGAATACAAGCTTCGCGTATAGTGTACTTTTACAGTCCCAGTAAACTATTTGTCTGCAATTGAACAAAGAAACTTCCATTATTTATATTAGTTGAATTTTGTTCAAAAAGGCCAACGTTATTTTAGAAATAAAAATTTGATTGCAAAGATTAGACCAACACCTATTAAAAAATTAAGAAAAAAACTAAAGAGAAAAAGATGAGAAAATGAGAAAAAAATATTCTAAACTGATACGAGAAAATGAAACTTTATTTCAATGATTTGCGGAAATATAGGGTATTCTAATAATTTGGACCGATATTAAATGTGAATTAAGTTTAAGAGTCTAATGACGTTTTTTCAGATTTAATAACTTACGTCTTTGGCAATTTCAACTATGGAAAGAATAACTCATAAATCAAACAACGTGTTAAAGTTATCGAAGCCTATTACAAAAATGGACGTTTAAACAGAAATGCATTTCGCACACTTCACGATTTTTTGGTTGTCATAATCAACCAACCGAGAGTATAATTGTAAAAAATGTTCGTAACTTCAAACAAACTGGGTCGGTGGAAGATGTGAAAAAACTGTGTGTTCTTTTACGCCGTTCACCTGAAAACATCGCTGCAGTGCACGAGAGTGTGGCCGAAAATCCAGACCCCTGTATTCATCATCGCGCGCAGGAATTGAACCTCACCACAACAACGTTACATCGAATTTGGACAAAAGATTTGTCTCTCCACGCTTACAAAATCCAATTGACACAAGAACTGAAACCTGCTGACCATTTCGAGCGCCGTACATTCGTCATTTGCTGGCACGAGCAAAGACAAACCGATGAAGATTTTTCGCAAAAAATCCTCTTTGGTGATGAAACCCATTTTCATCTTGGTGGATTCGTTAATAAGCAAAATTGTCGCATTTGGGCGGATGAAAATCCAAGGAAGATTGTTATAAAGCCACTGCATCCACAAAATAGGTCACTGTTTGGTGTGGATTTTTTCTAGAGGAATCATTGGGCCGTATATTTATAAATTTGAACGTCTATTTTCGTAATATGCTTTCGATAACTTTAACAAATTTTTTGAAGGTGAACTTTCCATGGCTGAAATTGCCAAAGACTTAAGTTGTTAAATCTTAAAGAAAAAAAAATCATTAGACGGTTAAATTTAATTTGCATTTAAAATCAGTCCAAGATATTGGAACAGCCTGTAATATTTGGTCGATAATAATATTTTCTTGGTATTTTTTTCATCGTATACCTTAAATTTTTTTATTCGAAATAGGAAAATACATTTTTTCTTTTTCATTATTAAATGCACCAATGAAAACATTTATTTGTTAGACAAAGGAGGTTCAATGAAAAGAAAAGTTCTTAAAACTCCTTGAAAAATAATTTTACTTTGACATATGTGAATGCCAACCATTTTTTGAAGAACATATAGACAAAAAGATTAAAAATGTTATTCGGGGATTTCTGGATAATAGAGGATCCAAAATGATTGCGATGTTACGCTGAATGACTGTACAAAACAATCAATTGGTAAACGATTCGAGTAGTTCTGGATCAATATTCAAGACAAGTTCAAAATTACTTTTGTTTACGTTCACAATGCTTAACGGCAACAAATGATTCGCAGTCATTGTTCATGTTTATCTCAGTCTTTACATTATCTATCTGTCTATCTATCTATCTATCTATCTATCTATCTCTCTCTCTCTCTCTCTCTCTCTCTATATATATATATATATATATATATATATATATATATCAGCCTGCTCCTTCCTATCTATCTATCCAATCTCAGCTATCTATCTATCTATCTATCTCCTCTATCTATCTATCTATATCTCTCTCTCTCTATATATATATATATATATATATATATATATATATATATATCAGCCTGCTCCTTTCCTATCTATCCAATCTCTATCTATCTATCTATCTATCTATCTATCTATCTATCTATTTCAGTCTCTTCATATCTATCTATCTATCTATCATTTTTGTCCG